TGTCACTGGGGCCTCGTTTAACTGTCCAACTAATGCACCAGCGTAGAAAGGCTGCGAATGGGAACATTTAATGAGAATGTTCTTTCTTAACGAAAACAAGGATGGAGCGATCCGCGGAACAGGAAGCTGCGAGGTTAGCAGGCAGCTTTAAAGACGTCGTTTCTATACGTCTGTGTCTCTAGCTCTGCTTTGCAAGGAAGTTCATCTGTACCATTTTTTCTAGGTTCCCACATATATGCGTTAATATTTGATATTTGTTTTTCTCTTTAGAGACGTCGTTTCTAAAGTTCGGCTTGGACGTTCCCGCATATGGAGAGGAGACCAAATTTCCCGGATGGTTTCCGTGGAGGAAAGAAGTTGCTCCCGGCCCTGCTGGACCAGATGCGGGCCGCGCGGGGCAGAGGCGAAGGCACGCTAAGCACGAGAGGACTCGGGCGCCGAACCACCCGCAGAGCCCGCGGCAGCGAGCGCAGAAAGCGGCGTTGCGCGCGCGGGGACCGGGGGAGAGGGCAGGCAGCCTGGCGACAGCAGGAAACCTCGAGTAGGAAGCGGCAGGCTGGAGCCGCGCGGGGTGAAGCAGCGGCCAGACCCGAGAACCCGCCTGCAGCTGCGGAAGCAGCGCGGCGGGAGCGCCGGGGAGCCAGGCCGCTGGCGAGCGCTCTGCTGGGAAGAGGGCGCCGTCGGGCTTACTGGAAACGCGCCGGATCAAGTTCCAGATCAATGAAATCTGGGTCTACACGTTAACATTATTGTTGCCAGCATTAATGCTCTTTTAATCTTCTAAACATTATCAGCATCGATCTCCCTCCATATACACATTTGTTTGAGAAAGTGACATAACCACATGGTGGAAAGCCTGGAATAAAAATAAATGCGCAGCCTCTCGCATCGAGGGCGCCCGTGGACTCAGGCTACTTCTCGCCCGCGCGTTCACTAACCTCCCTCGCGTCCCGCCGGCTCGGCCCAGCTCCCGCCCACCCTAATGTGAGTTGGGAAGGTGTTCTCGAGGCACCGGGGACTTGACCAAGCAAGGATGGTAGTGAGCTTTTCAATTATTAATCCGACCAGCCAGCAGGAGAAAACATCTTGTGTTCCGTACCGACGTGGTACATCCGGCCTCTCCGGCTCGGATCCCGAACTAAACCTTCGGGAGAGACCGGCTGAGCCCGGCCGAGAGGCTGACCAGAGGGAGGGGTGGGAGTCGGGGTGCGGGTCTCTGCGGATGAGGTCCCCGCCCCCGTCCCTAGGCTTAGGGTGGCCTGAGGACGTCCCCTGGCGCCAAAAGGAGCCGCGCACGCACGTGGTGCTCCTGGCAGGCGCCGCCGCGTTGTGCCCTGGCCACGCTCCGCTGCCGCGGGCGTCAGGTGGCCCAGGCGACATCCCGTTGGGTTGGTTAAGGGCCCTCCGCTGCCTCAACAAGAGGTGGCTCCGGACTGGTCGCTGGGAGCTGCTGCCTGGGGAGGGCCGGGCGTCTCTTCGCCGCGGGGACGCGAGGCAGGCTCGGGGCGGGCCGCCCCGGGAGCCCGGCTCACAGAAGGCGGATACCTGGGCAGGGTGTGTCGTCGGAGGGTCTCTGCTCTGTCTTCCAGTTGTTGGAGGAAACCACTCCCGCCACTGGGGCCTCGGTCGTCCTCCGCGAGGCGCCCATCCACTTTCTTGCTTGGGTTCTCTCGGTCCCTCCTGGTTCGTGTGTGCTTAGTTCAGAGGCCTCTTGAGGATTTGTGCTTGAACACGCTGGAGTTTGTCCTCGCCGCCTCTTGCCGGGTTAATAAAAACTGCTCTGCCGGAGCCATATCCGGGGACCACGGAAGAGACCGAAGCCCGCATGGTTGCAAACAGTTTCGGCCCTCGCCACCTTTTATGAACGAAGTCGTGCACTTGGAGCCCATTTCTCTGAAATCTACTGTTGAGGCAATCTGAGCTCCCCCATCTTCTCCCTTCCCTTTTGCAACGCTATCCCGGGCTGTGGATACACCGAGGCGGTCGGCGCTTCTGTTGTGATGGGGGTGTACTTCACCTAAGGGTGCGGTTGCCGACACTGGCCCAAATCAGGCATCTTAACTCTGCGGTTCCTCAAACCCCTATCTGCTTACCTCTGGCAAGACCCAAAATGAGAAAGAGAAAGCGAAATTAAAAGAGAGAGAGAGAGAGAGAAAGAGCTGGTCTCGATGAGATGGGGGGCTGGTCGGTCTCGGCGAGGTTCTGGCCTGGGAGTCAGGCAGAGCCGCCCTGTACCATCACTGGGATTGTTTAACCCCCAGAGCTCAACGGTGTGGGCCCTCGGCAGCGTCCTGGCGAGATTCCGATCCATACTCCTGGAGGAGAAGGGCTCAGCTTTTCTTCTCCATTTGCTCCTGTCCCCTAGCGCTCCAAGTACATAATACCAGTCCCAGCTTCTGCATCAGTGTCTGAAGAGACTGATCTACTGACCCCAAACTGAAAAGCTTCCTATGTAATAATAACCACTCAACACACTTGTAGTTGCTGATCGAATGGCCAGATAAAAAGGCTAAAGCTTTTGTCCCTTTTCAACTCTGGGTAATAAAACAGACACACATTTGAATGCCTGAGCAAAGCGGGGTCCCTCGCAGGAAATTCCCAGTCGCTGAAGGAGGCTTTCAGACTCCCACTGAGGGGGCTTTCTTGCTCCTGCTCTGAAAATCCCCGATGCTGCCTGAGGCCAGCCCCTGAGGAGTGGCCCCGGGACTCTCCCGTGGTGGGTGGTGGGACTGGGGTCCCCCAGGGATGCCACACTCTCCCCCATCCCAGCAATGCTGTTGCAAAAATGCTTGAGACCGGCTAGCCAGGAAAGCATTACTTTCCAAATCACTTTCAGACATACATTGGCAGAGGGCACGTGTTTTAAAAATCTCTGTCTTTTTCGGGACAGGCGTGAGGGGGCGGCAGCGCTCTGAGATCAGCCTGACTAGAATAGCTGTCATCCTGCCTTTACCTTACCCTGGTCCCCCCTCCCCAAGACCGGCTGCCAAGTTTCTTCCGGCTGCCTGTGCCCAAGAAGCCAGCCCTTGCTGAAGCTCACCCGTGAGGGACTAGAGGCCTTTTCAGGGGCCTAAGATAAAGGGGTACCACACTGTTTGGAATTGTCAGTAAGCTTCCAGTTTTTCACGGATAATCTCTATTCACTGCTTAATCTTTGAGAGGAACCAAAAGCAATCAGAGAAAATTGTAGGAGAGGATGAAGAGTAAAAAGCTAAATGAGGAGAAAGATAAAGTAGGTTTCTAAATCCATGCAGAACTATTTGGAGTCCACCGATGTGGGGAAGCCCTTGGCGGCGGGTCTAGTTTCTTTACCTTTTCAGATCAACACTGCTGGGAGATTACTGACTGGAGATCCGAATCCTCCAACAGCGGGCAAAGGCGGAGGCTGTCAGAGTGGAAACGCCCCCTCCCCAAGCCTGGGCGAACACGTTGCCTGTCACACCCCCCAGCCCTGTCCGGCGTAAGTAGAGTGCACCGTACAAGCCAGACTCAGCGGTGCGAGGATAGCCCCGGGGAGCCGGAGAGGAAGCCTGAGCTCACAGCTCCGGAAGCGCGTTGTGTGCGGCTCGGAACCGCGCGCTACCCACTACCCGTACCTATGTAAATCACTGCCACCACGAATTGTCCGCCAGATAATCCGACGATCGGGAGAGACAGCCTCAATCCAAAAGACGCTGCCCATCTCGGCCTGCGTCCGGGTACCGTGCGCCCTCCCCAGTGGGGCGCCTGGACACTTTGCCCCTCTTGGCCCGTGGCAGGGTCCTGGGGGCAGCGCAATTGCCACGCGCACCGCGCTGGGTCTGTGCGCACTAAAGCGCGCAACTGTGTGCCAGTCGCAGCCACGGCTGCGCCTTTCTCTCTGGTTCCCGCCGCCCACGCAGGAGGTTTCTGCGCTCCTAGAACAATAGAGGGCTGTACCTCGCGGCTCTGCCGCTAGAGGAGGCACAAAGAGCCAAGCCGGCTACAGAACAATGTAACCAATGCGTCGACCCGTCCTCTCCCGCCGGCCGCAAGCCCTCCCCGTCGCCGAGCTACGCGCACAATCAGCGTCCGCTTAATGCAAAGGCGGAGCCTGTAGCCCGCGGCCAAGATGCGTTAACTAACCTGCATCTTAATTTTTTCTGCACCTCTTCCCGCGAGCTCCCAGTCTCTCCCGGAGGCCCCAAACCTCGGCAAATCCTGGCAGACGCTGGGAGCCGGGCAAGGGCGGCCGGCGAGTGAGGCAGGACGCTCTCTACTCTTAGTTGCTCCTCTCCCGTCCTCCCAGAGAGGTGGATGTGGCAGTCCCAACCTTCGTCCTTGTACCCTCCCCTCACTGTGGGCAGTGACAAGGGACCTGGCCCCAGCCTGCTCTTTCGATCATAAAGTCCCCGTGCCAATGTCAAGGCTGGAAACGGGCTCGGGAAGCGCTGTTGTACCCTGGACACCCGTTCTCCGCGTGGGCAAGGCTGTGACTCTTGTCAGTGACCAAACAAGTTTGCCTCCCGCTCCCCCACCCCAGCCCACCAACTGCTTCCATACAGGGAGACCAGGCAGCTTGGAAAACTGAAACGTATTGCCTAAGCAAGCTTGGAAATGTATTGTCTAAGCAAGAGTTCAAGTGCACAGGGTTTCCAATAAAGGCAATCCCCCTTTCCTGTGAGTCCTGGAAAGAGAGGGCTCCTAGCGGACACGGTGCACCCCCATCGCGACTCCCACAACTGGGTAAGGTCGGAAGGAGAGGGCAGAGTTGGCACGTTGACCAAAGCGCGAATAAAATGCGGGTGGGGGTCGGTCAGGAAGCCCAGGAGACAAGGAGGGAGGAAGGAAGAGAAGAGAAAGGGAGAACAGAAAGAAGAGAGGAGAAAGAGGAAACAGAAGAAGAAATAAAGTAGAGAAGAAATAGGAAGTGTGGAGAGGAGGCGAGAACCAGAGATGTGGCTAAGCGCCCTCACCCGGGGCCACAGGCACCCCGGAGCCCTCTCCCAGCACCCTGGCTCCAGGAGACCCTCTGGGCTTACCTGCCAGGCGTAAGGCAGACATGCGCTGGAACTCGGGCTCCTGCAGCCACTTCCACATCCTGCGGAAGGTCTCCCTGCCAGATTTGAGTTTACTCCACGGTTTGGGGTTCCGGAGCAGGTCGGAGAGAGTCCCCTGAGACCGGCACAACACCCTCTGCGCGAAGATCGCCTGTGGGATGCTGTAGCGCTTCAGCTCGGCGGTGATGCGCTGGGCCACCTCTTTGGTGTTGATCTCCTCCAGCTGGCCTGATGTGGCCACCTGCGATCCCGAAGAGGACGAGGGTGGCCTCTCACGGCTAGGCGCCAGCACCGGCCCATGGGACTGAGCGTGGCCCGGGTGGTGTAGGCCGTTGAGGTGAGACATCATGGCCGCGGGCGGGGTGCCCAGACCGCGGGACAGGTGTTGCTCACCGCGGGTCAGCATGGCAGTGTGGTGCGCGTCGAAGTTGGGGCTGAGCATTTTGTCGTGGCCCGGGGGCCCGTAGCTGGGCAGGCTCTGCTGCGCGTTGTGGAGGCCGCCCAGCCCGTTGCCCAGCGGCGTGGCGGCCAGCGGGGACAGGCTCTGGCTCATGCCGGGCATCTCCTTGTAGGGGCTGTAGAGGTTGTTCATGGTCGGGAGCCCTCGCTCGTCGCGCATGAGGGTGAAGCTGCCGCTGACGTTGCCCGACAGGCGCTGGTGGTGGTGGTGGTGGTGGTGGTGGTGGTGAGGGTGCGGGTGCGGGTGGTGGAACTTGTCCGACACGGTGGAGATGGGCGGCAGCGGCTGGAGAGGCGTCAGCGTGGTGTAGGTGTTGCTCATGCCCATGCCGGGCGGGGACGAGTCGCAGGACATGCTCATGGCATGATGGAGCGGGATGGAGAGCTCGGGCCGGTAGTCGCCGCCGTCCAGGATCGAGGCCATGCTAGTGACCATGGCCGAGCGCGACGCCGCTGCTGCCGCCGCTGCCGCCGTGCCCAGCTCCTGGTGCGCCGTTGGCGGCGGCGGCGGCGGCGGCGGGCCCCGCAGCGAGCCAGCGGCGCCGCGGCCCGCGTGGTGAGGGCTGGTGCTGGCCAGCAGCTCCTGCTCATGGCCCGGGCCCCCGCCGCCGCCCCCGCCGCCCCCGCCGCCGCCCCCACCGCTGCCGCCGCCGGCCGGCCCGTGCAAAGTGCCCAGACTTTCCATTGTCAGCTCCGGGTTCATGGCGCAGCCTTCTAGGTCTTTGGTGAGGCATCGATAGGCGGTGTAGGCAGCCTTCATTCAGTCCATCGGGGCCCGGGGGCGGCGGGGGCGGCGGGGGTGGCCGGCGGGCTGGCAAGGCGCGCGTGGCGGAGCTCTGCCGCGGGAGCAAGGGAGGGCGCGGGAGTGCGTGAGCGTGTGGAGGGGAGCGTGCGTGCGGGTGTGCGCCCCGGGCTGCGGGCGGGCGGGCGCGCCCGGGGTGGGGGTGGGGTGGGGTGGGGGCGGACGGGGCGTGTGTGCGGGAGACGGGAGGGGGCGGGGAAGGAGGGAGGGATCACCGAGTCCCGCCGCTCGGGGCGGCGCGCTGCCTAGCCATGTCCGAGCCCGCTCCGGTGCCGACGTCTTCTGTTTGGGTGAGCGGGAGCTGTCCAGAAGGGCTCTGCCGCTCGCCGGGGCAGCCAACCTACCTTCCCGGACCCGGGGCGGGGCAGTGCCCGATGGGCGCCGCGAGCAGCCACTGCGTGGCCGCGACTGCCCCGGGAGGCGGGCCTCCTGCGCACAGCTGCCAATGGCTGAGGAGCGGGCGGGGCCGCGCGTTTCACGTTTGGCTGACGGCTCTGTGCTTTTTTTTTTTTTTTTTTTCCTCCTTTGCCACTGGAATCAAACGTCAAGGAGAGGAAGAGAGGGAGGGGAAGAGAGGGTAGTGGGGAGAGAGGCGAGAGAGCGAGTGAGGGAGAGAAATTACGTTAAAGATGCCGCTCTGTGTTTCTCCGGAGCTGCTGCGACCTGGGCTAAAGGGCTTTGCTTCAGTTCCCCTTGCTTCACCCCAAAGCTTTTATCGAGGCAAGCCAGGAGGGAAAACTCCTGCTACGTGCTGATGTAAAAACAATCCCACGTCTCCTAACAAGCCACTTCCCAAGCGTCCCTAGCTGGGAGCCAGTAGTTTAGCCTTTAAAAATGCGGGCGCTAATGTATTCTAATGTAGGGTAAATTCCCGAGACTGGGGAGTGCGGAATCTACGGGGCGAGGGAACTCAAGCGCCCTCGCTGCCTGCTAGCTGCGGCCGGCGGACGCAAGCCCACCCGCGGCGCGGGCCGCAGTAATGCCTGCAAAGTTAACACAATAACATCATTTAATTACCCGGCGAGCCCATAAATCTCTCAGTTATGAGCCTTCAGAAGGGCCCCTGCTAGATTGCAAAACAAAACTAGAACACCAGGAGCTACGGTTTCAAGGTGACCAAATGCTTGCTGCGCGAGCGAGTTGGAAAGGAGTGGTGGGAGGGGGCGGGGGCTGGAGGGGGGTAGTGTACAGCAGGGTTGTTGCCGATGCCTTAGTTAGCAAACTTCTCCTGGGGGTAGGGAGTATGTAAACGTCCGGGACGTTACTCGCGGATCTTCCCCCTAACACACACACACACACACACACACACACACACACACACACACACACACGTCTCTCGAATCCCGGGAGAGGAACGCCCTGGGTTACGGCTGTGGATAGATGACATGGAGCCCATATCTGTATATTCAAACCTTGTTTCTGAAAAGACCAGAGCCCTGGTGAGTTCTAGAACGCTCGCAAGCCGCAGCTTTGAAAAGTGTACCTTCATCTACCCAGGATTGCCGTTGTTTAGTAACCCCTGGTCGGCGACTGGGAGTGGAGCGGGGTTGTAGAGAGAAGGTGGAGATTTCTGCGGCCCGGGTTGGGGTGGAGGGGGTAGTTGAAGGCAGAGAGCCACTCGGCATTGAAAACCTTACAAGAAACAGATTCTTCCGAAGCAGGTTGCGTTCTGTTTGCCTGCGAAGATTCAAGCTAGCTGAGGTTGCGCAGATGTTGCCTTTGTTTAAAGAGACAGTAATTAAGGACAGGGTGGACGTAAGTTGGAGAAGCGTGACCTATTTTCTTTTGATCAGCTGTCAAAAGAAGAGCAGGGGGTCTCCTTAAGACAGCCCCCTCCAACAACTTCCAGCTGTTAGAGAAAACTTGATAAGAAAACAAGGACACAGTCTGGAATACTGTATGTGCCTCCCTGGCGCTAGAGAAAGGTTTTATTCATTTGGAAAACAGTTCTTAGTCTTGGTGACCTTTTACGGCTGCCCTCCTCTCTCTTCTAGCTACAGAGCAAAAAAATCCACCCCCTCCCACGTCATGCTGTCACATGAACGTACAGTGACACTATTTCTAGATCAACTTTATTGAATTCTGGCCAATACCTTGCCAATTATTCTTTCAAATAGCCTCTTCTTGTGATATCAAAGCCTGAGTAAGAAAGTGGATGATCCCCTGCTTTGCTAGACATACTTTTCTAGATGCTCACATCTTTTAATGTCACAGTACTAGACAGGTAAAATCACTCAGTTTTCTGTTTCTTTGACTTTCCTCTCTTCCTCACCTCTCCTACCATCTCTCTTCACCCTCCCCACCTTGTATATGGCAGCTGGACATTTGGGATAATTTGAAAGTTAATGTTTGAAATACACACCGAGTTGAACAAAAGTTCACAAGAGTGCAATCCCGTTGGTCCAGGAGTGCTCAGACACTGAAATAAGGCAGGAGAGGAGCAGGACAGGGGAAAAATCTGTTTGATGTGCCCCAGTGCCGAAGGCAGCCTCCTCTGCCCTGGCTTCAGGCTCAAGCAGTGGCCAGTGACCCCAGGCTGGGACATCTGGTAGGCACTGCCTCCGTTCAGAAACCTAGGCATATAAATTGCCATTTAAATAAAATTTCAAAATTATAAACTCATTTCCCAGGCTACCAGGATAAATCTGCTCCTGGGTATTCCACCTCGGTGTGCCTGGGAGCAGTCACGTGCTGGGGAGTTGAAAGGTGAGTTGCATATTCTCGCTGCCTCGCTCCTTCCTCCCTCCCTCCTCCCCTCCCCTTCCCTCGATCAATATTGGCGATCTCAGGGAAATCATGAAATCGCATTGGCTTCTTTGTGTATAATTTCATTGGGCTAGATTAAAGCAGACTTTTCACGTTGTTTTTCTGATAGCGGTTTGAGGTTTTATATTTCAAGCCAAAACCCATTGAAAAGAAAAATTAATGTGCTTGTTTACTCAGCATCCTAATTTTTACTGAATTAAGTCTGCATGTTTTCTCCCTTTCTTTTTAAACCGGAAAAATAGTATCTACTTGAAGATAATTTTAAGAATATCAGTACTAATACAATTTTCAAATATGTTTTGAAATATCTTTGATTTTTTTCTATATAGTTCTTCAAGAAAATAAAAAGGAAGAGTTGCTTTCTAACCACCCCTTGTTAAGCACACATGCTCTAACCTTCGGAAGTTCTACGACTCAAATTTTTTTCTTTTAATTTGAAGTTACACTCCTGTTCCCCCTGACCGTATAGAAATGTGGCAGCAGAAGTGCTACTTCACGACTGTTAGAATCTGGACAAACAGTTGCACCAGCCATTATATCAGGAGCAGGATATCCATTACTTAGAATACCCCATTTGCAGGGCCGATTTTCTTCAAGACCAAACACTTAAATGATTCAAAAGAAGCCTGTAAATAAAATGCAGCTTTGACAACAAATATAAGCTATTGTACTGTAAAAGAAAAAAAAATTGAAGTTGAGCAAGCGCGGAAAAAGACTGGAAAATTTTACTGGACTTTTCATATGTTTTTTCACATTAAAAAAATTTTAAGGGTCTGAGAGGGAGAGAGACATGAACATTCAATTAAAACAGAGACCCTATAAATTATTCACGAAAAAAATAAACACACCACAAGTAAACCCAATCTGGATAAGGGGTCCAACAGCTCTGTTTTTACTAAACAACTGTAACCACAGCCCAAACCCTGGGTAGAACGGGGGCTGCTTATTTCCACCCAAATGTTCAAAATCCTGAAGAAGGTTTTGTGTTGGGTAGAACGGATTTGCGCTACAACTAGGTTTATCAGAGCAATACAAAGAAACATAATGGTGGGCTGACTTGGACTATTTTATTTTTGTCCTTCCCCAAACCATCTGGCGTGTGAGTGTAGGGGTATTGATCAGGATCTGTGAGCTGCAGACCCCATGCCAATCCATAGCGTTTCTGGCAATCAGCGTCGCCCATGAATTGCAGCTGTCTGTGCAGCTCCTGAACAGAAATCTTCGAAAAAGTCCCCCACTTATCAAACACATCATCCGTTCAGGGGTAAGTCAATGTCATTTCTTTGTCATTCCGTGAGCAGGGATTATGCAGGAGAAAGTTTTTGTTGTCTGTTGTATCTGCTGCTGTGCCTTTTTTTTTTTTTTTTTTTAAAGGAAGGAGAGCAATTTTCTAGCCATTGAATGGTAATGGTTTTCCAGGAAGGCCTCAAGCGTTTGTAGGAATCTGACGACAAATACTGTTTTAATATTGTGGGGGAATTTTAAGAGAAGGGGGACATTCTTATGTTGCTATACACAAACAATAATAGTGATAATAGAGGGTTCCTTTTAATGACAGAGGATTTTCTCCCCTTTTCTCGCAGCCCCTGGTGATGAAGATGCCGCAAGTCTGTGATTACACTTGCAGATGGACGGTGGGTGCTAGTGGCGGAAAAAGCGTCTTCGGAATTGTGGCTCTGTTTGATATCTCCATTAGCTGCAGTTTTCTTCTGCCTGAAAGCTCGGGCTGGTTGAGCATAGGGAGGAGAAAACCAAAACCGATGCCTAGCCCCACTAACTCCCTTTGGCCTCTGAGCTCAGAAATTCACTGATACTTCTGAGTTTCCAGGTGAATCTAGGAAAGTCTGAAACAAAGTTTTCTAGGTGTTGAGGCCGAACCGGTCCTTTTTCGTCTGCTTCTGGCTCTGCGTGGATGTTGTTAATATCGAAAAGGCCAAGTTAGAAGAGCTGGCGGGGGACTGACCTGAACTTTTGGGTGGACAGACAGACATTTTGCGCCAGGGTCGGGGGAGAGTTGGCGTTTGTTAGTGTTCTTCCCACCCTCAGCTAGCCTCTTAGGAAAAGAAAAACGAAGCTCCCGGAGCCCTCCCTGCCGGGGGAGCGTTCTCTCGGAGCCCTAAGCTCTGGTGCCTGGATTCGAAGGTGGGGAGTAGGGTCGCGGGGCGAACCCAGCGGGGTGTCGGAGCCTGGGCT